CTCTCCCTGTTATCCACCTCTTGTGATTCTTATAGTAAGAAGTTGTGACTTTCAGTCTAGTATGGAATTAAAAAGGCAATTGTAAAAAGTGAAAATAAAACCAAGGCTATAAAGAGGTAAGATTTGCAGAAAAGGGTGTAGAAAGTCCTCACCTTTTGTTTTCCGCAGTGTTAAAGCTAGGTGAATTCTGAAATGCTGAGGAAATCTTGTGTAGTCTCCAAGACTGTCTTTTATAACCCTCCTCATAGTTATAAATTTTGCTGATATATTGGGGTCATTATTTTTCTCATCTGCCATGGGCAGAAACAGGCTTTCCTTTTTGAACTCTGAGATCTGTGTACAGAATTTTTTTTTCAATTGGGGAGCCATAACTGGCAATGCTCAGGGGTTACTCCTGACTATGCACTCAAGAATTACTCCTGGTGGTGTTCAGGGGACACTATGGGATGCCAGGGATCGAACCTTGGTTGACAGCCTGCAAGGAAAGTACCCTACCTCCTGTACTATTTCTCTGGCTCAGTGTGTACAGATATCTCGGTAGAACTCTTCCTATGGTAGAAACCATTTATTCTTTTGTTTTTGTGACATGTCCAGCAGTGCTCAGGGGTTACTGTGTTCTGCACTCTGGCAGGGCTCAGGGTGCCAACGTTTGAAACAGAATTGGCTTTGTGCAAGGCAAATGCCTCACCCCCTGTATTCTCTCTGGCCTCTAAAATACACAGATTTAAAGGCAGAGTTTTGGATACCCTGCAGCACTCAGAGGCAACTCCGACTCAATCCTGGTAATGCTTGGGGGACCATGTGGTGTTGGGGATGGAACCTGAGATGCTTGCAAACAAAAGATGCGATCCAGTTTGGTAAATTGGGAGAAATGATAGTCTATCCCCTATTCAGAATAGAAAATATTTCTATTGCCATGGAAAATTACCCTTGTGCCTCCTCTTCCATTAAGTTACCAACATTTCATGGTGCCAGAGAGATAGCACGGAGGTAAGATGCTTGATTTGCATATGGCCAGCACAGCAAATGGTCCCTTGAGCACAGAGCCAGGGGCAAGCCTGAGCACCACTAAATGTGGACCCCAAATCAAAACAAATTAAAAAACCAAACCAAACCATAATTCCAGAAGTTCCCTTATCCTTCAACTATAGATTAAAGTCATATGATTATGGCAGTTCTCAATGCTTTTACATTTTACATTTTTCAATAAGGGAGTGGAGCTTTCCATGGTGACATTGCTTTTTCTAAGTGGTGAGCATGCCTAAAACTTTTTAGACTTTCTGTAAAAGTGTGGTTATGCCAACATGACACAGTAGGGTTGAGGTCAGTGGGCTTGAGGATTTTGCACACAGGATTCTATTCGATCCTTGGCACTGCATGGTTCCTGAGCTCTGCCGGGAGTGACTCCCAAACAGAGTTGGGAGTAACCCCTGGGCATCACCTGGTGTGGCTCAAACAAACAAACAAACAAACAAACAAAAAACCCACCACCAAAAAAGGAAAACAAACACTGAAGTGACACAGTAGAAGCAAAAGCTTTTTTTGTAGTATGCCCAAAGTAGAGAACCATAGTGGTTGTTGAGGGAGACTAAGCCAATTTTCCTAAAAAGTCTAAAATTACAAAGATTGTGCTGAAGCTTGAAATCATTGAACTCAATTTTAGATTTAAGGGAATGTTGGCAATTTCAGATGCAAGCAATTTTATTATGAAGAGATAGAGAAAGGACTGAATAATTCAGTTTTAAGCTTCATGCTTTGTTTACTATGACAAAATCTTGAGGTTGTTACTTAAACGTATTTAAGTGCTTTCTGGCTTTTTCTCTTTAAAGAACAAGGACTGGAGTGATAGTATAGCAGGTGGGGTGTTTGCCTTAATGCGGCTGACCCAGGTTTGATCCCTGGCATCCCATTTGGTCCCCCATCCCTTCAGGAGTGATCCTTGAGTACAGACCCCTGGCCACTGTTGGATATGGCCCCCAAATAAAACAGAACAAAAATTAAATTAAAATTCCTGTTGGGTTAAAGAAAAAATGTTGGGAGGAGAGTGTACAGAGGTTAAGACAATTGCTTTACATATGGCTAACACTGGTTCGATCCCCAGCACCACAAATAGCCCAAGCCCGGTGTATAGTCACACTCTCCTTACCCTTCAAAAATTAGGGGACCAGGTAGGTAGTGGAAATGGCTGCACACAGGCTTTGCGTGCAAGAGACCTAGGTTGAGATCTCTAGTACCACATGGCTCTCTGCCCAGGCCAAGAGCAACCCCTAAGCACCAAGTCACCTCACCCACTTCTGCGCCTGAGGGTTAGGGACCACTGGATATGTAACCACTTCCAAGTAGCTTTCTGACAGTGAATTCACAGGCTCTTCAAGACCTCACCAATGTCTTGGCTGGCAGGACCTAACTTAAGAGCAATTGCTCAGTATTTGGAATGTCTGGTTCCCTTTAAAGATTGCAGAAATTCACACAGCTGTCTCTAGATATCCCCCATCACCATTCTATTGTACTTCACACACATTACCACTTATACACCTTTTTCTTAGTTCCTTGAGAAAATCAAGATCAATCACATCAAAATCTTTGAATGTGGCCCAAACCCTACATCATCGATCCCTTCTCATTGTTAGCAGCTTCTGTAATATTATATTAGAAGAATTAAAGTATGACATTGAGAGACAATGAGATAAATGTTCTACCAAGACTAGCCCTGAATTTTGCCGGGAATGCCATCTGAGCAGAGTTAGAAGTAACCCCCAGCACCAATGAGTATGGCTCAAACCTCCTACCATATTCAATACTCTCCCAATTATTAAAAAAAAAAAAAAAAAAACTAAAAAAACTAAACTTCCTTTTAATTTGGTTCTTATTTGGGGGCTATATTTAGCAGTGCTCAGGGATTACTCCTGGGTCTACACTCAGGAATCACTTCTGGTGGGTGGGTTTGGGGGACCATATGGGAAGCTGGGGATTGAATCCAGGTTGGCTGTGTACAAGGCAAGCACCTTATCAGCTGTAATATTTCTCTGGCACCTTCCTTCTAATTTCTTGGAATAATTTACCAGAATACTTTTTTTTTTAAAAACCACAACGGGTATTGCTCACGGATCTCTCCTGGTAATACTTAGGGAACCATATGAGGTGCTAGGAATCAGACTCAGGTTGGACATGTACAAGGCAAATAACCCAACAGCTATACAATTCCTCTGGCTCCAAGTTTATGTGTGGTAAAATATAGAAGTTCAAGTGCATATAACATGAACTTATACATGGATATGCTAATGTAAGTGCCACCCCGAATGATGCAAGTTTACTTATGTTGAGCATAATCAGGTTACTCATGAATAGATTACTATTGAATCTTTGCAAAAATACTACCAATGATATATTATATCCCATACATTTCCATATGTACTATTAGTGATAAAAAATTAGACAACTAGACTGGAGCAATAGTACAAGGTCTAAGGCCTTGCACACCACTGACCCAGGTTTGATTCATGGCATCCCATATGGTCCCCTGAGTACCACCAGGAGTGATCCCTGAGCACAGAGCCAGGAGCAAGTCCTGAGAACTGCTAGGTGTTTGACTCAAAAAACAAAGCTATAGTAGACATAATCAGACTTCAACTCTTGTCCAGAAAGTTCCATTCTACCATGTGTAGGAACTAACCTGAGTCAATTACAAATAAATTAATTCTAATTAAATGAATTTATATTAAAAATATTAAAGGGGCTGGAGCGATAGTACAGCAGGTAGGGCATTTCCCTTGCATGCGGCCGACCTGGGTTCAATCCCCAGCATCCCATATGGTCCCCTGAGCACTGCCAGGAGTAATTTCTGAGTTCAAAACGAGGAGTAACCCCTGTGCATTGCCGGGTGTGACCTCCCCCCAAAAATTGCCATCTCCTTTCTTCTCCCCACTTCTGCGCCTGAGGGTTAGGGACCACTGGATATGTAACCACTTCCAAGTAGCTTTCTGACAGTGAATTCACAGGCTCTTCAAGACCTCACCAATGTCTTGGTTGGCAGGACCTAACTTAAGAGCAATTGCTCAGCATTTGGAATGTCTGGTTCCCTTTAAAGATTGCAGAAATTCACACAGCTGTCTCTAGATATCCCCCATCACCATTCTATTGTACTTCACACACATTACCACTTATACACCTTTTTCTCTTGGTTCCTTGAAAAAAATCAAGATCAATCACATCAAAATCTCTTAATTCTTCCAACAGTTTCTTTGGCTCATAATACCACTCCGGGAACATGCTGGAGTAACAGTGGGTTGGGGAGAGGGGAAAGGGAGGTAATGAAAACATTATAGGAATTTAGGAAGGGTTTATGGAGATTAGGAAGAATTAGAGAGTGTGACTAGAGATTTCATCTTTATATTACTCTCCAGCCCCCACATCTCAATGCTGCAGACATTGAACCCAGGTCCCTCCTGCAGGTCCCTCATGCACACATTTGATCACTGAGCTACATCATTTTCATTTTGACAGTGGTGGGAAGAGGGGGAATATAAAACATGTACAGCTTTTTGTATGTCGACATTTCAAAGTGGTTAAACAAGTAAATCATGGTTTTTCATTTGTCTGTTTAATTCTACCAACACAAAAATTATTCTCACACAATAAGTACTATTTCCCAAGACACAATAGATAACACTTTTATATACACATTTTAAGTCCAATATATTATACTTCCAATATTTTCAAGCAGTAACAACTAACAGAACAGTTACACGTGGAAATGATATTGGCAAAGTTGCCCTGGTTTTATCACGCAGAAACATTGCTTGTATGTTAGGAATATTTTTTTTTTGGAGACTAGGAAAGAAGAACTTTAACTTTGGCTTCAAATACTTAAGTCTGAAATAATTAAACTTAGAAGGTGGAAAGTACGGCAGTCACAGAGTTCAACAGTCAGCAACAGTTGTGACCGTAGCCATCTTTTTATTTTTAATTACAGCGTCACCCTTGTCCTTGATATTGCGGTCTTACTGGAGACTTTTCATCAATGCCTTATTCCTACAAAACAAAAGATGAAACCTCATCAAGCCCCATGCATATAAAGCAAGTGTTCTATTGCTTGAGCCATTTCCCTGTATTTCCTTGGCCCTCAAACATAATGTTCCTTAAGCCGTCTCTTAAGAATCAGAATGAAATATCAAGTTGCATTATTGAAAATAACTGAGAAGCCCATTATTGAAATACCAAAGAGGAAGGTCTTTAAACATTAGGATCTTGGCTGGGAAGCATGTGACCATGTTATCAAGGAACAACAAGGAATCAATTTCCTATAAAATTTCTGTCCCGTGCAGCTATGACAGAAGAGACCCCAGGAGTGGCTCTTTCGTCATGTGTCCTGAAGCCCAAGTATGTCCTCAAAGTGCCAGTCAGAGCAATGACAGTTTCATTCAACTTGATTGGCATGGAGATAATCACTCATGGAAGGGGGCAGGGCAGGGGAAAGGGGGAAAGGAGAGGTATTCCTTCACTCACTGCAGCCTGGTGAGGACAATAACCTCCCTGGGACCCAAAGAACTGCAATCCTGGCTGATGGAGGAACACTTGAGCCAGAAAGGCCTGCTTGCAATATGTTTTTGTCCTCTGACAGATGTCCAAGACTGTTGGTGTTCAGTAATCACCATAGGTGTTCCCACAGCAGGTAAACAGAGAGCTTCCTGGAGTTAGAAAAACCCCCTCCATGCACCCACACAGCCCCCACATCCAGAAAGGCATTTTTTTCCCCTTTTTCTATCCCTCGAGCAGGTCCAGTAACGTCTCCATCATGAGACTTCTTGTTACTGTGTCTGGCATATCGAATACATCACGGGGAGCTTGCCAGGCTCTCCAAGGGGAGCAGGGCTGGAGCAATAGCACAGCAGTAGGGCGTTTGCCTTGCATGCAGCCAACATGGCCGACCCGAGTTCGATTCCTCCGCCCCTCTCGGAGAGCCCGGCAAGCTACCGAGAGTATCTCGCCCTCACGGCAGAGCCTGGCAAGCTCCCCGTGACGTATTCGATATGCCAAACACAGTAACAACAAAGTCTCCAATGGAGACATTACTGGGCCCGCTCGAGCAAATCGATGAACAACGGGAGGGCCTTTACTTTACTTTACTTTACTTTACTTACTTTTCTATCCCTACGGGGCCCAGACACAAGTATACATCCTACTGCAGCATAAAATTCCCAAGTGATTAAGATTCCGTAGCTCAGACTGGAGTGATAGTACAGTGGGCTGGGCCTTTGCCTTGCACGTGGCCAACCGGGTTCAATCCCCAGCATCCCATATGGTCCCCAAAGCAGTGCCAGGAGTAATTCCTGAGTGCAGCGCCAGGAGTAACCTCTGAACAACGCTGGCTGTGACCCCTTCGCCCCCCCGGCCCCCCCCAAATATTCTGTAGTTCTAGCTCTAGACTCTGTGTGTGTGTACAGAAAACCTCCCAAGGCAGCCAATTCTTTTCATCACTTGCTCAGTCAACATCCATTACCTGTATCCATGACTCATGACTGCTTAGAACCTCATGTTACTTAAGTAGGTTTATTAATGTACCCTTATCTTCATTTGATAAGAATTTCTACACATCTAAACATAATGGCTTTCTAGAATAAAACTTTTTTTACTTGATGATTTGATTTTAATGCCATATTTAAACTCTGCACACCTCTGGCCCAATTTTCTCATCATAATTGAGATGTAGAAATGGAAGTCTAGTAAAGTAGCAATTAAGAAGTTTGCTAGTAGAAATGGTTGCTAGTAGAAACAGACTGTCCAGAACTGTCTTTCCTTCATCTGGTGTTGCCACTACTTCAATAAACAGTATTCTCCCTTTCACTGTCATCCCTGATTTGCCAACTGTGTTGGTTTATCTTAATTTAAAATAATATTCTACATCCCCTTTCTTTTTCTCTTTGTTTTTTGAGAAATAGGAACAATGATTAGTTTATATGCTTTATGCATGGAAAAGTCAATTTATCAGGCCTGTTCTATCAGGTTTATTTCTGACCAGTCAATCATTTTATTTAGTACAATGATTCCAATTTGGCTTGGAACTTTAGTTTTACAGAAAAGCCTCCGCCCCCACCCCCAAGCTCTTTGTTAACACCCTTCTGCTCTTTCATGATCGTGTTTCTAAAGTTCATTTTTTGCTGAATATAATGATATTTTATTGATTATTGTCACATAACTAATACACTTTCAGAAATACCACTGGCAGTGGGTAAAATATAAATCAACAACAGTCAAAACTTTTTATAATTGGACCACAAACTAATTATATTACGCAAAATTTGTAATGTTCAGATTTTTACTTGCTTACACTGTACATTTTTTTAATCGTGGATTACGCAAACCAATTCCACTGGAATAATTTTTAAAAATTCAGTATATAACTTAAAATGCAATTTAATATTGTTCTAACTCTCAATTTAAGAACATTTATACACATAACTCATTTAATTTTCACTGCTCTTAGATAGGCATTATTATGTTTATCTTATAAATAAAACTGATACTATCTATCATAGACTTTCATATTTCGTAACAAAGAACTTCCTTTCAATTTCTACTATGCCCTCTTTTATTATAGAATTAGCACGACACCATATGCTGAAATATAACCTTACTTCTCTCTAGCCATTTTTTTTTTTTTTTTGCTTTTTGGGTCACACGGGTTACTCCTGGCTCTGCATTCAGGAATCAGCCCTGGAAGTGCCCAGGGGACCATATGGAATGCTGGGAATCGAACCTGGGTTGGCCGCGTGCAAGGCAAACGCTCTACCCGCTGTGCTATTGCTCCAGCCCCAACCATTTCCTCTTTCAAGAAGCCTCTTTGATATTTCTCTGCATTACTTTCGTACACTGCTTGGTATTAAGCTATTTATGTTTCAGGTATCTCTATCAGCTATAGACAAGAGAAAGTGGCTTTTATTCTTTTTCTTTTTTAGTTTTATTTTGGGCACACTTAGTGAGGCTCAGGGGTTACTCTTGGTTCTGCATTCAGGAATCACTCCTGGTGGGCTTGGAGGATCCTACATTGTACCGCAGATCAAATCTGGGTTGGCTGCATACAAGGCAAGTGCCCTACCCACTGGACTATCCCTCCAGCCCAGAAAGTGTTTTATGTTTGTTTGTTCATTTGAAAATAAACCATTATTTCTGTACAGTGCACATACTTGGATATAATGACACAACATTTCTTCTGAATTATGGGATTCGAGATAGAAGTCTTTTTTTTTTTTTTTTTTTTTTTTGCTGCAGGGGGCCAGTGACACCCAGTGATGGCCGGGTCAAGGCAAATGCCCACTCTAGCCCCATCAGATAGAAGTGTTAAACCCTGACTTATACTCTTTTCCTATGGGATATACTTACCTGAGTGATGATTTTCTTGAAACTATTTACTGACAACTTAATCTTGGAAGATTGAATAAAGAACTACTAGCTATAGCTGGAGTGGGTTTCTAAAGTTGGTTCATGCAGCCAAGCTGGGTTCAATTCCCTGCCTTCCAAATGGTCCTTCAACCCCATAAGAAGTGATCCCTGAGCACTCAGTCCAGAGTAATCCCTGAGCATTGCTAGGTATGGCCCAAAAAACAGAAAGGAAAAAAAGTTACTATCTGTCTTTTCAAAAGCCAGGTGCCTAATTTGATTGGTAGAAAAGCAGTAGGTGATACCTTTGGACACATTTAGGGCACAGCATATTGTCCTCCATGCTTGCGGGTGGAAAGTTGCAGGAGGGGAGCAGGAAGAGTGCACACACTTGCCCTTTTCTCTCGGGTACCCAGGCTTGTCCTGCATGAAACTGTAGACGAACCCATCCTTCTGCGTTTGCTGGGAGAGTTCTCCCATGCACCACACACCACCTGACATCTGGGAAAGGAAAAAATGCATTATGAACACAGCATGAACCAACTAGACTGTTCCAGAGAGCATCATGGCCTTTGAATCTGCTCTTTGTCTGCTCAAGCTCCATCTGTGAACCTAGCATCTTAACTTAACCAACTCTATCCGCTCTGTAAACGGAATGAATAATGCAAAATAGTTTTTTATTAAACTTTTTTAATTATATTTTTGTTTCTGTTGGGTTTCAGGCTCAAACCCAGGGCCTCACATATATAGTACAAGTACTCTATGACTGGGCTGGAGCGATAGCACAGCGGGTAGGGCGTTTGCCTTGCACGCAGCCAACATGGCCGACCCGAGTTCGATTCCTCCGCCCCTCTTGGAGAGCCCGGCAAGCTACGGAGAGTATTCGATATGCCAGACACAGTAACAACAAAGTCTCCAATGGAGACGTTACTGGGCCCGCTCGAGCAAATCGATGATCAGCGGGAGGGCCTTTACTTTACTTTTACTTTACTCTATGACTAAGATATATCCCTGATACCTGTTTAAACCTTTGAGCAACACAATGTGTGCAAGCTGTGTCCCCCGCACTACCCCAACACCCCCCCCCAAAGAAATTAGAGGGAAAAAACCCAGTAGAGATCATCCTATTATATACAGATCCAATGCAGTCCCCATCAGAATTTCCAGAGTAACTTTAGAGATATGAACAAAAAAAATTTACATTGAGTAATAAAATTCCTAAAAAGCAGAAGAATCTTTGAAGTAAAAGATACGTGGACTTCTCTATTCTTAATTCTAAATTGTATTGCAGAGTTATGTTAATCAAAATTGTGCAGCACTAGACTAAAGGCAAACTCTTAGATCAATGGAAATAGAACTAAGAACCAGAGATACACCATCAGATATACTGAGAGTTAATCAAGTTGCATCAAAGAAGAAAGGGGCATGAAGTAAGCAATGAAGAGTCATTAACAAACAATGTTGGGAATACTGGTTATTCACATATTAAAAATAGCAACAAAAAATGAAAACTACATCAAGAACCAGAGAGAACTGCCTCAATAGGCTGAGTGCATGCTTTGCATGCAACAGACCTAGTTTTGGGAGCAAACTGAGCACAGAGACCAGGAGTAGTCCCTAAGCACAGTTGGTTGTGACTCAACATTTTTCTTGGATCCCTCCCACCCCTATCTCACACCATATACAAAAGACAAGTCAAAAAATGCACTAAAGACTGGATATTGGCTCTGAATCCATAGCATACACCAAGAAAAGTAGAGAATTCATCATAATACTGACTTTAGAGGTGTTTCCCATCATTTTATGTGACTGACAATGATAAGAAAAGCAAAAAATAAACAAATGGGACTAAATTAAAAACAAAATTCCACTACAATAGAAACAATGACTTGAAGATAAAGTCACTCTATTAAGTGAGAAAAAAATATTTGCTCAGGGCACACTAAGGATTAAAATCTAAGATTTTCCCAGGAGGTTCACTCCATGGCTTCGAGGCCAGCCGCACACTCTAGGGATAAAGGCAGCTCAGATAGAGAAGGGAGCACCAAATAAAGGGTGCTGGGAAGATCCGCCCAGGATGGGAGATGCATGCTGAAAGTAGACTATAGACTGAACATGATTGCCACCCAATGCCTCTTCTGCAAACCACAGCACCCAAAAGGAAAAAGAGAACAAAACGGAGTGCCCTGCCACAAAGGTAGGATGGGATGGGGGATGTAGGATGGGGGGTGGGAGGAATACTGGGATTGGTGGGGGTGGAGAATGGGCACTGGTGGTGAGATGGGTACTCGATCATTGTATAACTGAAACCCAAGCACAAAAACTTGTAAGTCTACAACTGTACTTCATGGTGTTTCACTAAAAAAAAAAAAAAATCATATTAAAAGAAATCTAAGATTTATAAAACAGTCACAAAGTATGACAACTAAAAACCAAACAGCCACCAGCCACAATAAAAAAAAAAGGGAGAAGAGCTAAACAGATACTTCATCAAAGACACAGAAAGCCAATAGGTATATGAAAAAAATTTTCATCCCTTATTATGGAAATGGACACCAAAACAGTAATGAGATAGGGTACAAGGCGCTGGAGCAATAGCATAGCCAGTAGGGCATTTGCCTTGCCAGAGGCCAACCCAGGTTCGATTCCTAGCATCCCATATGGTCCCCTGAGCACCGCCAGGTGTAATTCCTGAATTCAGAGTCAGGAGTAACCCCTGTGCATCACCGAATGTGACCCAAAAAGAAAAAAAAAAAAAGCCTGAAACCACCAGTGTTGGCGGGGATAGGATGAGAAACAAACCATCATACACTGTTAGCAGAAATGTTCACTGGTTCAGCCTTTATGGATAACTGTGGAAACTTCTCAAAAAATTAAGCACTATAGTACTGTCCTCCCATCGTTCATCAATCTGCTCAAGCGGGCCCAGTAACGTCTCCAATGCAAGACTTGTTACTGTGTTTGGCATATCGAATACATCATGGGTAGCTTGCCAGGCTCTCCAAGAGGGGCGGAGGAATTGAACCCGGCTCGACCAGGCTGGCCGCGCGCAAGGCAAACACCCTATTGCTGTGCTATCACCCCAGCCCAGTGCCAAAGAATGGGTGAATAAATAAAGTTGTGGTATACAAGCATAATGGAATACAACTCAGGTATAAGAAAGAACTAAAATTCTTCAGTTAGCTAGCCCAGGGATAGAATGGACGGTAAATGAGGTGAGTGAATAAGTTAAAGTGAAAGGTCACACACCAAACTCACTCATATGTGGCATATAAGTAAACACAGTAAGGTGAGGAGAAAAGAGAATTGTGCCGGGAAAGAGAAGGAGACTTGCTGGAGATAGTATAATGGATAGGAAGCTAGCTTTGCACACTGCCAACCCGGGTTCGATCCCCAGCCATCCCATATTGTCTCCTGAGCTTACCAGGAGTGATCCCTGAGCACAGAGCCAGGAGCAAAACTCGAGAATCAATGGGTATGGCCCCCAAACCAAAATAATTTTTTAAAAATCGTAATTTGATTAGGGGTGGGGGTGGGGGATAGAGACGCAGTGGTTGGACAACTCTTGGCAATGCTCAGCACTATTCCCGCCTCTGCACTCAGGAATCACTCCTGGTGGTGCTCAGGGGAGCATATAAGATGCTGGGAATAGAACCTGGGTCAGCTGCTTGTAAGACAAACACCTACTCTGCTGCACTATTTCTCTGGGCTCCTAAAATCCTGATTTGGTAAAAAAAGAGAGAAGTGTTAAAGGTGTGATAGTTACGAATGAGTAGATGAAATGATCAAAACTTAGATTTTCATCTGGGATTCTAAGAAAAAATCAGATTAATAAGTGATGAGGCTGTCTTCGGCAAAAGGAAAATTTACATTCTGCCTCTAGGCAGTTAAGAGGAAGCTTTGTCTGGGTTTTCTTAATTGCCTTTAGCTCAAAATAATTTTTATGTCAGAGGTATATTTTTCAGTGACAGAGCACATTCTTTGCATGTGTTAGTATCACGTTTGATTCTTGTACAACCAATAAAAAAAGGCAGGCATATTATGGAATGCCATATTCTGATCTGCTCCAAGAGAATTACTAAATCAAATTGGTCTGGGAAGTCTTTTATTAATTATGTTGAGGAGTCTCAATACAATAGACACTGTATTGTGCTAACTAGTTTATGATCTTCCTGCATAGCATATTCTATAATTCTTACTACATTACTTTATGATGAGGGAACTGAAAGCTGTAATTATCAAGTTAGCTTATTTAAAAAATTTTGAGATAAAATTGCTTAATAACACTGCATACATTTCAAGAATACAGCTTCATACTTTGACATCTGTGTATCCTCCATTATAACCACCACCGGAATTGTCCATCTACCATCAAACAATTGACCTCCTTGATCTAAGTGACCCATTTGACTCACCATAAACAACCTGTACTTAGAAGATTCAGGGCTCAAGCTCTGACAATACTTTAGAGCGATGGTTTTCAGACCACGTCATCAGCATAGCCCAGGAAGCTGTTCAAAATCAAAATTTCTAGGCCCTCCACAGATCCAAATCCCAAATTTGGGTCTGGGCCTAGGCCTAACAGCCACTCAGGTGATTTTGCTAAATTTTAAGATATTTTAAGATCAATATTAAGATAAATATCAATATTAAGATCAACATCAAGATTAAATTTTAAGATCAGATATTAAGATGAATGAAACTCATTTTTGGGGGGGAGAGGGGTCACACCCAGTGATGTTCAGGAGTTACTCCCGGCTCTATACTTTGTAGTTATTCCTGGTGGTGCTTGGGGGACCATATGGGATGCCAGGGATCAAACTCAGTTGGCCTCGTGCAGGGCAAATGCCCTACCCACTGTACTATTGCTCTGGCCCCAAAACTCATTTCTTCATCTGGACCAGAACCAGTTCTTACTATTAACTTACCACAGGATTCCTGTGTTGACTGTGCCTCTACTTCTTCTGTCTTCCCAGCCATGGCTGCGATTCTTGCCCAGGAGGCAAACACAGAATCTGAAGCTGAAGTGGTCACTACCACAGTTTCTGGTCCCTCCAGGACAGGTACCATCTCTGCTCCAGGAATAGCCACTTCTGATGTCCCTTCAGAACCCTCCAGAGCTATTTTTGCCATACCCATCATTGATCGCCTCTTCGATTCTGTCAGGATCCTTGCCTCTTTTGCATTATCAGGAATGTCCTAGAAGGGGGATACAGAAGATCAAAATGTCTCAAATTTTATTATTCTTTGTACAGAATTGGTGAAAAGTGAGGTCAGGGATAATTCTCTTTAGAAGGAGGGAACAAGAGCCCCATTTGATCTCTGGTGCTAAAAATGACAATTAGGGTGAGAATTAAACTTCCTGCTCTGCCAAATTTCCAAAAAAATGACTCACCTTCTGATTTGGGTATGCATATTCACAGATTCGCTTATATATATCCAATTTCTAAGACGAAAGAAAAATGAATTAATAAAGAAAGGTCCCTATCCTTTCTTGCAGCAGCATGAGGGTTGGTGGGGGTCTCTCGCATGCCAGGCCCTTACCTGGCCTTTGGTGCTTATCTTTAGTTCACGGCCCCAGGCCCGAACAATGTCCCGGTGAAGCAGGTTGACTGGTGGCATTTGAGAGGGCAGTGGGGGAATTGGTATCTTCTTCCTAATTCTGACTTTTTCACTGCCCTGTGATGCTCTTTGTGAACACGAAACTGAAAAAGAATGGAATAAAATAAATAATTAACTTCTGTTTAAACTTTTAGATTTTAAAGTTTATTTATGTTTGAATTGTTGAGGTCACAATCAGTTGCTGGTGCTTGTGGACCATTCCTGTTGAGTTGCCGAGGGATGGAACGGGGTGGGGGTGGGGGTGTTTCCACATGCAAAGCATTTGTTTTGGTACTCTGATCTTTTTCCTGGTCCCTTCACTGTCTTTCAAACTACCATTACTTAGTTCTCACAGTCTAATCCCCATTGTACTCGAAGGAAGACCATCTAACCTGTGAGTGACAGGACTTGGAACTTATGATACCCCTTTTCTACTTCCTAAAACTCTTTGCCACTCACTGTTCACATGATTTGCTCCTTTGTGAGCCCTTCAATTCAAGGACTCCAGGAGATTACATGAGATATTGCACTTCCTATCCACGGGGAGTGATAGAAATGTTAGATCTGAGATCATAAATAGCGATGCTTTGTCCTCCTCTCACTAAAAATGAAAGAAACCACCTGCAATAACATAACACATGAAATCACTAATGCTCACGATTTTCCAGTCTCACTGCAGACGGCTCTCTGGCAATTTTGCCTCATGCTTGTACCATTCAGGAAAGACAGACAGATCACCCCTCCAGAGCAGAAACAACAGTGAGACTAACCATGCCCATGATTTACTGAGTACAGTGTAGATATTTTGCCTAATTAACACACTAATTATCGATGTAAATCATGACTGATATCATTTCCCACATCCAACCCGGCAAGGTAAATAGGAAGTGGAGTTTCAAGGTTAGGATTTCAAATTTACCAACCATCTGTCCCCAAATTACCACACATTAAAGATGAAATGACAATCAGAACCAAGTCTGCTGTGGAAGTTTGGAAACAGATAAAATTTGTTTTCTAATTTTGGATTTTGGAGTCATACCATAAAGTGCTCGGGAACTCTGGGGAACTGGGGTATCAGACCTGAGTCAGCAGCATGCATGGCAAGTGCCTTAAGCTATGTACTATTAACCCTACACTATGTCTCCAGTTTGTTTTTTGGTCACACCTGGTGTTGCACAGGGGTTACTTCTGGCTCATGCACTCAGGAATTACTCCTGGCAGTGTTCAGGGGACCAAATGGGATGCTGGGAATTGAACCCAGGTCGGCCACGAGCAAGGCAAATGCCCTACCCACTGTGCTATCGCTCCAGCCCCTCCAGATCAAGTTCTTAATAGAAATAACCAGAGACAGGCTTCAGGAAAATGAGATTTAAGAAAGGTTTCATAGAGGACAGAAATCTCGACTTAAAATAAATAAATAAATTTCTTTAGACCCAAGAAAATGGAATTTGAGGATTTATTAGATATTCTACCTTTGTCATCATTCATACTTATTTTTCGTTTGGTCCCCTTTGCTGGGATTCTCTGAGAAGTCAGTGTGCTTGGTTCACTAGAAACTAGGCATTTCTCTACCAACGCAGTTGTGGATCGTAAAACCTCTTTCTCTTTGGAGTTCTCCTGTGGAGACAGAAACCAGTCAGTTATATTCTGGTGTCCAAATCCATCACAAACACTGCCTGTCTTAAGATAACTTGCACCAGAGTAGCACGACAATCCTTGACGTTCGCTGGTGGTGGAGATTCTTCTCCAGATACCTTCTTAATACCTAGCACTATTTATAAGATAGGGAAGTAATGAGGAAGAAATGGGAGGCCAGTTCAAAAGCAATACAAAGCATGAGAAAATACAGATAGCTGCAAAAAAAAAAGTAGAATGAAAGTGGCTCTGCTTGGGGGAATGTGAGGTCCTTATATCATGTAAATATTCATATCACTCACCTAGAACATTTTACCCCATTTATGTTTTTTTTTCTTTTGTCTTTCTCAAATAAATGAGTTTTCATACTAATGCCAGAGGAACACTGTATGTCCACCCCAGAACTTCACTGCACTGAGCATAAGTATATTAAAAAATTTTTTTTTTTTTTTTTTGCTTTTTGGGTCATACCTGACGATGCACAGGGGTTACTTCTGGCTCTGCACTCAGGAATTACTCCAGGAAGTGCTCAGGGGATCACATGGAATGCTGGGAAGCAAACCCATGTCAGCTGCATGCAAGGCAAAGGCCCTACCGGCTCTGCCCCCAGTATACTAAAAAAAAAAAATCAATGCAATCTACCATCCTCTCATCTCCCATTCCAGTCTTCCAGCCTGCCTTCATTTTGGGGCTACCCTTGGCACTGCTTAGGGTCACACCAGCTGTGCAGGGCCAAGTAAACAAGCGAATGTGTGACCATGTGCTGCCAGGGACTGAACCTGGGGCTCCCGTTGGCTAACACGCACTGCGGTCTCAGCACCTCCAGTCAGCTTCTTCTTACTACTTTCCAGTGCCCCAGACTCCAGTTACAAATTCCTTTCCTTTCTAGCTACTTTGGCCTCAAGGGAAATCACTGAGCTCCACCCTCGGTCCATTTAAATGTCTTTCCTCCTGCTGAATTTCAGTTTAAGTGTTCGTTCATCTGAGAAATCTTTTGTAGTCTTTATAAACTAAAGTCATCTCTCTTGGCAAAGGCCTCAATTCCCAGCACTTGTCAGCTGCAAATTTACAAGCAAGTCAGGAATTAAATCCCAGGTCAACTACTCCCCAAGTGTGAATTCTACCAATTCCACAAATTAACAATTGTATGCCGTTTTTACATCTCTACAGCAATTTCACATTGGTATTCAAAATCTACATTTGCAAAGCACTTACACAATTCTCATTCTCTGGCCTCCCTGGAGTCCTAGAGTTGGAAGTAAAAGTGACCAGTGTTAGGAAAGAGACCAGAGTACACTCAAGCTTCACTGTGTCTCTGCCTGGAGCCGCTTGCCTGTAACCTTTAATTCGGTCCCAACTCCACCTCCCCAAGTACCATCAATGCCTGGTTTTTGTCTTTTTCCTAGACTCCGCTCAATCGCCTCTTCCTAAAACCTTGGTTTTACCTCCCTTTTTCTTTCTCTTCTAACCCTCCAGGCCCCACACTTTAATATTCTTTCTACTGGATAAAAAAAAAAATCCATCCAAAACCAAAACAGGAAATTTGCTATCTTATTATCACTTCACTCCAAAATACTGCGCTGCAATCACTTTTTAAAAAAAAAAAATCAAGAAGGAATTCTAAGAATCATACTTCTCCAAAAGAAGAAAAGGATCACGTGGACTCAGGGTGAGAGTAAGATACGAGAAGATTCGCAGGGAGAGAAGACAAATCTACTGAAAGTGCATTTACCTCGCTTGCTATGGACTCCTCCATACTCAGAAAAGCAGTTCATAGGTTCGTCTGGTTTTAAAATGGTCCCAGGCCCGGGACTGTTCTTCGAAGGTTTCCGCCCACTTCCTGCTACCTGAGGCTTCCTCTCCGCGCCCGGCCCCTCCCCCGCGATTTGGGAATGCGAAGCCTGGGGGACGTCTCACTCACCTGGTGACAATTGTATGGATGGGTTAATAGATTAATACTACCATTCCAGTCCTTTTCTGGGAAGTTTGCATAAAATTCCTAGAGGGTTAGGGAAGTTGAAAACTTCTTCTGAAAACTTCCAAGCGAAATTGCTAGAAACTTCTGAAAATGATGTGTGTTGGGGGGGTTGTTTAATGATGGAACTGGGGGATGGGAGGATGGGGGTGGGGAGGGAATGGAATTCTGGAGCCCAACCTGGGGAATGAAAACAGTGAAAACGCCTTATCATTGATCACACACATTGTGTGTGTCTCTCTCTCTCTCTCTCTCTCTCTCTCTCTCTCTGTCCTCCCCCCACCCTTCCTTTTTTCTCTTTCTCTCCCTCTCTCCCACTTGCTCCTGGCTCTATGCTTAGAGCCATCCCTGACAGTGCTGGGGAGTGCCTTCCCAGCTTTACTATATCTCTGAAGGCTCCCCAAACTCCACTCTTAAGCAATTAAAATTGTAGCTTTCCGTCTGTACTAGTAATAACTAGCCTCTCCCCATCTGTCAGCAACTAATAAAGTATTGGTTGTAAATAAATTCTAAGCCCAGAAGTTCACTTTTATCCTCAATTTTATTGTTCAAGTTTTAAAAAAGTATTTGATGTGAACAAATTCCAAGTTTAAAAGTACACAATTATTGTTACTCTCTATTAGGTTTTTCTATTTTTCGTATTTATTTAGAATCAGTTTTCTATAGAGTTGCATTGTCACTTTCCAATAAATTTTATGTAGTTCTCATATGTTTCTTCACTCATTAGTTCGTCCAATTCTGAATCTAATTCTGAATTTAAGTGTCATCTGATCAACTATGTTTATAATAAGATTTGTTGACAAACTCTGGGTTTTCTGCAAAAGTTTCAGTTACCTTTCCTGAAAGAAAATAGGGTTCATTAGCAGCTTTCCATTTTCTAAAGCATCAACTTTTTTTTTTTCTTTTTGGGTCACACCCGGTGATGCACAGGAGTTACTTCTGGCTCTGCACTCAGGAATTACTCCTGGCGGTGCTCAGGGGACCATATGGAGTGCTGGGAATCGAGCCCTGGTCAGCCACGTGCAAGGCAAACGCCCTAATCGCTATGCTATCGCTCCAGCTCTTCAACTTAATTTTTGTTCAATTATATAATCACTTCATCTCCCCAAATTCCTGTGCACAACTACTAATTCCCACTGTTCCAGTACCATATTCCCTAGCTGCCATTCACCGCTGAGTTACTCACCGGAGAGTAGAGAGGACTGAGCAGGCAGCTGGATTCAGCCTGCAGCCTCCAGGGCAGGGGTAAAAAGCCGAATTCCTGCAGCCTGCGGGGAGGGGGGGGGGGGGGGTTGCAGGTGGAGCTCCCCTAATCCCCGCCCTCCCCCATAGCCATGCTGGCGGGCTCAGGGTGCTAGGAAAGTGGGGAAGAAGGGTCTCCACTCAGAGTCTTGAAACTCCTCTGTTCTCTAGTTTTTCCGTGACAAATCGACTCATATAATTGCATTGGAAATTTGCTGGCTGGCACAGCGAGTAAGAAGGTAAGAGAAATCAAGTCTTGATTAGCAGCATTGTACCTCTTGAGCACTAAGCTACTGACTCCCAAAGAGGCTCTTTGTGGGGTAAGCCTGCAGCAGAGAAAGGCCTGTCACCTCAGAGTGACAGCACACTGGACCTCCCACCCTGTCCCCCAAAATACCAGGAAGTCCTAATTCCACATAGCTGCCCCCACACTCCAATTCTCACCTGAAAAACAGTTTTTAAAATGCCTCCTTCAAACTGTGAGAATTACACACACACACACACACACACACCCACCCCTCTCTCTCTCTCACACACACACACACACACACACACACACACACCCTCTCTCTCTCTCACACACACACACAGTGCTGAGTTCAACACACAGGTATTAAGAAAATACAATCTGTAATTTGTATTGCAAACACAGCGTCTGTTGAGATTACGATTTATACATATGAACTTTTGGGGAGGAGACAGCATTTTATTTTACATTTTTGTTATTTCTCACTTTAGCAAAAATGTAAAATATTACCTTCTCTTATTTTTTAGAGTCACCACGACTTAAAATACTGCTGATAATTGAACTTCTTGGATACAAAATTCTAACAGCACATGCTCTACCAGACTCTCCATTTTCCTCTACCAAAGTTCCAAGGTCCCCTATGGCCCACACCTCTTTCCTTGGTAATACAGATTTGTAGACTAATGCGCAAGTACTATTGCCTTTGGCTATTTGTTATTCCTTTAGTTTGCTTTTTTACATCCCACATATAGAATATGAGGGGGGGGGTGTCACCATTTTAAAACAACTGTACCAACCATTTGGAAAAACAATTAATACCCCTGTGTATAAAGGGAGTAACAGAGCCTGATTTAAAATATTTAGGCATAATTGGAAATAATACTTCATTCTTAAATGAAGCAAAAAGCTAAGTGCCTTTTAACTTGAATTTTTGCAATTGTAATGTATAAACATGTTAGATTAATGTTGGGCTGGAGCGATAGCACAGCGGTAGGGCGTTTGTCTTGCACTCACCCAGCCAGCCCCACCTAGCTGGGTTCGATTCCTCCGCCCCTCCCAGAGAGCCCGGCAAGCTACTGAGAGCAAGCTGCCTGTGACGTGTTCAATATGCCAAACAGAAACATGGTAACAAGTCTCAAAATGGAGACGTTACTGGGCCCGCTCACGCAAAATCAATGAACAACGGGAGGACAGTGACAGTTGGATTAATGTTCTGAAAATTTTACTGAGTATCTCCAATTACAATAATCGGAGGACTGTACTTATAAAAATCTTAAAGAAGTTTGCCTAAGTTATATGTTTATGTTTTATATGTATGTGACAAAATATATACCTAGGTATGACTTGGCTTCTCAAATTTTTTTGTTGTTTGTTTGTTTTGGGGTCACATTCAACTGTGCTCAGGGCCTACTCCTGACTTTGTGTTCAGGAATCACTTCTGACAGTGCTCAGGGAAGCATATATAGTGGTGGGGAAAGAACTCCGGTCTGCTGTGCGCAGAGTGATTGCCTTTCCTGCTGTGCTATCATTTTAGTCCTGGTTTCTTAAATTTAAAGTGGAAATAAGTTTATTGTGCTTTTCTTTAGGAGGGGTTGCTTAGAGCATCACCTAAGAGGGTGTCAGACATGTGGTGATTCACCCACCCAGGGTCAGCTAGCTGCAATGCAAACAACTTAACCTGTGTTCTATCTCTCCAGTGCAGTTTAAACTGCATAATCATCACAAGTAAATTGATGTGCAAAATTTGTCATGAACGTTTCATTGTCAAAAAGAAAAACTGTTCTTTACTTTTTTTACTTGTTTTGTTTTGTTTTGTTTTGGGCTGGAGCGATAGCACAGCGGGTAGGGCATTTGCCTTGCATGCGGTCTACTCGGCCGACCTGTGTTTGATTCCTCTGCCCCTCTTGGAGAGCCCAGCAAGCTACAGAGAGGACAGTGCTACCGTGCTACAGTATTTTGTTTTATGACCATACCCAGTGGTGCTGTGGGAACTAGGCAGCCGTGCTCAGGACAGGCCCTGGAGAATGTCAGCCATTTGAGCCATATCCACCGTCCAATGTCACTGCTTTTTAGTTCTTTTAGGGAGCTGGAGAGAGTTTAGCAAGTAAGGCACTTGTCTTGCATGCAGTTTACCTGGGTTCAATCCCCAGCATCACATAGTATACTATCCCCTGAGCACATTCAGAAGCAGATTCCTAAGCGCAGAGCTAGGAGTAAACCAGAGCACTGATAGGTGACCTAAAATTTTTTTTTTAAAGTTTTATATTAATGCCAAAAGTTCTATCTACTTAAAATTTTATTTATTTATTTTGGAAAGGAGAGGGCCACATTAGCTGATGCTTAGGATATATTCCTTTTTCTGTTCTCAAGAGTCACTCCTAGTGGGCTTGAGGGTCTGTGCAGTACTGGGGATCAAACATCAGTCTTTCACAAACAAAGCAAGTGCTCAGCTTTTATTTTCATTTCTTTATTTTTAATTTAAGTTCCAGTTACCTTTTATTTTTTTCACAGTTACAAAGTTGTACGTGATTAGGCTTCAGTCATACAATGTTCCAGCACCTGTCCCTTCACCAATGTATGTACATTTACCACCACCGATGTTCCCAGTTTTTTTTCCACCTCCCCATGCCACCTCCCCATGACCCGTCAGCCTCTATGGCAGGTGCATTCTCTCTCTCTCTCTTTCTCTCTCTCTCTCTCTCTCTCTCTCTCTCTCTCTCTCTCTCTCTCTCTCTCACACACACACACACACACACACAAACACACACCTCTTCTGGGCATTCTGTCTGTCTGTTCTCCCGTTGTTCATCGATTTTGCTTGAGTGGGCCCAGTAAAATCTCCATTTTTTGAGACTTGTTACTGTGTTTGGCATATTGAATATGTCACAGGTAGCTTGCCAAGCTTTGCTGGGCGGGTGAGATACTCTCGGTAGCTTGACGGGCTCTCTCCGAGAGGGGTGGAGGAATTGAACCTGATTCCGCTGGGCTGGCTGCGCGCAAGGCAAATGCCCTACCGCTGTGCTATCTCTCCAGCCCTTCTGTGCATTAATGGTTTGCAATACAGGTACTGATATATTCTCACGTATATCCTCCTATCTCCTTTCAGCACTCAGATCTTGTCCAGAGTGATCATTTCCAACTATTACTGCCATAGTGGTCCCTTTCTATCCTAATTGTCCCCCCTCCCCCCCGCCACTTGTGGGAAGCTTCCAACTGTGGACAAATTCTACTGGTCCTTGTTTCTACTGTCCTTGGGTATTAGTCTCATATTATGTTTTTTCTTTTATTAATATACCACAAATCAGTGTAATCATTCAGTGTCTGTCCCTCCTTCTGTCTCATTTCCCTCGGCATGATACTCTCCATATCCATCCATTTATAAACAAATTTCATGACTTCATGTATCTATGTGGCTGCATAGATATGGTACATCTTCCATGATAGATGTACCACAGTTTCTTTATACACTCATCTGTTCTCAGGCAGTTGGATTGTTTCCAGATTTGAAAATGGTGTTCTTGCTACATTAGGATCCTCCATGTATTATGGATTCACTACCAGGATCTCACCGTTCTACAAAGAAGTGATCATCCATGTCAAGAGAGGGGATCGGCAGGATGATACCATTTCACTGAAACTCTTCAGTGCCACCCTCGAGAAAGTCATGCGATGACTGGAATGGAAAGGAATGGGAGTGAAGATAGATGGTTGGAAACTACACCACATCCACTTTGCTGATGACATCATTTTAATACACCAAACATTAGCTAAGTGGCACAAATGCTGGCTGACTTTGACTGTGAGTGTGGAAAGGTCGGACTCCAGCTGAATCTCACGAAGACAATGTTTATGAGAAACAGTCTCGTTCCTGATGTTCCATTCGCTCTCAATGGAATGACCGTCTCCGAATGCAACAGTTATGTGTACCTAGGTCGAGAAGTCAACATGACAAATGACCTGGCACCCGAGCTGCGCAGGAGGAAGAGAGCGGCTTGGAATGCCTTCAAGAGTGTCGAAGAAATAGCTAAGAGGATGAAGAACCTCTGGCTCCGGGCACATCTCTTTGATTCCACTGTTCTTCCTGCATTAACATACGCCTCAAAGACCTGGGCCCTAGGATAACAGGATGAGAATGCTATTCGGGTCTCCCAAAGAGAAATCTCCCAAAGAGCTATGCTTGGAATATCACGTTTCACTCAAATGAGAGAAAGAATCTGGAGTTCTGACCTCTTTCTAGGGTCAAGAATCAGGGAAGCTGTCTTGTTTGCCAAGGTGTCGAAAATCAGATGGGCTGGACACATAATGAGATTTGGAGACGACGGCTGGACCAGAGCCATTACTGACTGGATTCCACGGGACGTCTAAAGACTGCATGGCTGCCCACCTACCAGATGGTCAGACTTCTTCGTCAAGACCCTGAATGATCGGTTTGAGGCTCTTCGTGTTCCTAGAACAAACAGATGCCATTGGGTTACACGAGCACGCGAGAGGGACAAATGGAGACGTTACTGGTGCCTGCTCGAGCAAATCAATGATTAACGGGAAGTCAAGTGATCAAGTTCTTGCTATGCATTTTTCACCCCCCCACCCCACCCCACCCCCAGGTGTATTCCCAGTAGTGGTATTGCTGGGTCAAATGGGAGCTTAATTTCTAGTTTTTTTGAGGAATGACCATATTGTTTTCCGAAAGGGGTGGACCAGTTAGTATTTCCACGAACAATGAATAAGAATTCCTTTCTCCCCACATCCATGTCAGCATTGGTTATTCTTGTTCTTTTT